TTCCATCGGCAGTGGATCGCCAAAAACTCCTGCAAAAGCTGAGGCTTCTAGGACAGCAAAAATTGCCGAGGTGAGCAATGATAGTGGAGCAGAGGATTTATATGATTCGGGAGTAGAAAGTGGAGCAATCGATGGTGGGGAAGAAGAGGTAAACAAGATCATGACTGGAGGAGGAAACGATGCCGAGGTGGAAAGAACAACAGTGGTGGAGAGCTCCATTGAGACTGTCAGGAAACATGGCGAGGCTGTTTCTAGAGCCTTAGCTGGACTTTCAATCAGAGGTAGTGCCTTGACCCACGGTAATCCCGTTAAGATGGAAGCTGGTTGTGGTTCCGTGAAAGCTGAAGCTTCGGTTTCGATCGCAGCTGGATGTGATCCTACGAAAGTAGATGGCTTGGTGAAGATGGAAGCTGGTTGTTTTAGATGCAGAGAGGTGGTGGCTTCTCCAAGAGACTGAAGTTGCCGGGTACTCGACGTCCAGGGGATGACGGATTCGTGTTGGCGAGTTCGTGTCCTTCAATTTTCCCAAGCCTGAAGCCGAAAGTAAGAAGAAGTTCTTTGAGCACAAGAAGGTTCGGCCGAAAGCGAGCTCCGACATTGTAAGGTTCTTGACAAAAGCTTCAGGAGAGGTACGTTTCACTTGACTTGTTTCTTCGTTTTAATTCTAACCATTTGACAGATAGAACGGCTTCCAGCCGACTGGGCCAAGTGTTTGATACCTTTGGGAAGTGCAAATGGTACCAGAGGCTCTTTCTCTTATGAGCAGATTACGGCAAGCTTGTGAACATCCTTTTCTTGTTCTGAGGTAGAAAATGCATCCTCTTATGTCTGAAGTTCCTGACGTTTTCTTCGTCACGCAGCCGTGGCGATACTGAAGACTTTGCGGACCTGGGAAAGCTGGCTAGACGTTTCTTGGACAAGAATTCCTCCCTGGTGCCTTCGACGGCGTATGTCAAAGAGGTGGTGGATGATATTCGTAAAGGAGAAAGTGCTAATTTGTTTGGAGATGCACGCAGTTCTTACACCATGCGCTCATCGACTGTGCCGTGAGTGCCTATTTAATAGCTGGCGTACTAGCGCCGGAGGTCCCTGTCCAATATCCGAGGTAACATATTGTTTTTTTTTCTCGAGCTCTTTTCCATATCCATAGCTATCATGCAGGCGTTCCTGTACGAAATAGGAACTCATAACCTCCAAACGTTAAGTGAGGCCGGGTCGAAAAGCGTTGTTTTAAGTCAGTGGACAGCGTTTCTCGACTTGTTAGAGATACCATTGAAAAGGTACGAGCGTCTTTCCTTTTGGTGCTTTCTCTTTGTTTGTGTTTCTAACAATGCACTGCCAGGAAGAACTTCTGTTTCGTCCGCTTGGACGGAACACTATCGCAGCGTCAGCGAGAACAAGTGCTCAAAAACTTCAGCAATATTCCAGCCGTGGCCGTAAGCTTTTTGTGTTGCTTACCTCCAAGAAACCACTCTATTTTGTGGACAGGTCATGCTCATGCTTTTCTCATGGTATGCGCTATAGTTTTCTTTCTTAGCCATCTTCCGAGTCGAGCATCGGTCAGACGAAGAACGTATCGATCAAGCGATTCATCGTCAAAGTAAGCGCCACTTGAAACTCTCTTTGACGTTTCTCATGTCTCTAGAGCAGGACTCGGTGGAGGAGAGAATGCAACAGGTCCAAGCGAGGAAGCAAGGATTGATCGCGAGGGCTCTCACAGACGAAGAGGTGCGAAGCGCTCGAATCGAGGAGCTCAAAATGCTATTTAGATGAGAAGAACTGGAGTCCTTATCATTTTTTTAACTTATATCTAGTTAAATAGGGGAATATGCTTCTAGCATCGGCGCGTATATTCTTCGGATAGTTCAATGAATGAATGTGTTATATGCGGACAGCGAAGGAGCAGGCGATCGCGTCGCAAGCGCGTTTTGCATCGGCGACGAGCAAGGTATGCATGCTAGGATCGCCTCGAGAAGCAGCAGCAGCGCCAGCGCCGGCGCCGCGCCGCGATTTGAGCCGGAGTAGCCGATCTAGATTCATGCAAGCATCCGATCTCTAGGAAATTGAGCTGAAAGCTGAGGCTTTGTAGGCGATCGCGTTGATTCCTCTCGTCTCCGCGGCCGGGGCGGCTAGAAAGCCGGGGCACATTCTAGAGTTTCGGGGTTTCTGGGGCGATCAGTCATGTATCGGGCAGTGATTCTCTCACAGGGAGCTGGAAGTCAGCCATGACGTGGAATCCGCAACAAGTTCCTCCCAGCTTGTCCGCCTTGACTGCCACTACTCAGGCCGAGGATGAACTGGGCGTGGATGTGTCGTCTCCCAGCGGCGATTTGCTACTCCATTTTCTCGAGCGGTGGGGGCGACGAGCAGCTGAGGAGCAATATTAACTCTTGACCTTGTAGATCGGAATTCTTCACTTTTTTCACAGCTGTGACTCACTCACTCTAAGAGATTCACAGTGAGCACCGCAACGATCGCTACATCGCTCGCAAGAAACACCTCTATTTGTACAAACAGACAAACGTGGAGCACGTAAAGTACTTGTGCCTTTGGCCTAAAACGGGCATCTTAAAGATGCGACACGCCCGAGAAGAACATCGTCTTTTCTCTTGTACGGCGTTGATCCAGGCGTACGGGAATAGAGGGCTCCTCTGCCGATCTTTGATGGGATCCGGGCGATCTTGTCACCGACGTCTTGAAAGATCTTAGATTCTATCCGCAATCGCCCAGTCAATGCGATCCTGGCGATGGGTGCTCCATATCATTCTATTCCCGCCCGGACGTGATCTCCAGGATTTGCGAAGAAGAAGCTCGTCGATCAGATGGCGCGCAATTGATTGGGGCTTCCCGCTACATTTTCCCGCGCTACTTCTCCATTCTAGGGTTCTTTCTTGGAGGCGACGTAGGTTTTCTATTGCCCGCGTGGTCGAGGAGACGGCGCTGGGGGGCGGCCTTGATCGGCGTTCTGGAGCTGCACAGGTAATGGGGCTCGACACTCCGGGTTTTAGAAATAGGAAGAGGCTCCAGCTTAAGGCTCCGACGAGCAGTGCCAAGGCGAGGAGCCCCAGCCAGCGTTGGTAAATCGTGGACGACAGGGAGCTCTAGATGTACGGTGACAACAAAGGTCCCTGCGGCAAAATGTTCCATCGGCTGTGGATCGCCAAAAACTCCCGCAAAAGCTGAGGCTTCTAGGACAGCAAAAATTCCCGAGGTGATTGTTGATAGTGGAGCAGAGGATTTAGATGATTCGGGAGTAGAAAGTGGAGCAATCGATGGTGGGGAAGAAGAGGTAAACAAGATTAAGACTGGAGGAGGAAACGATGCCGAGGTGGAAAGAACAACAGTGGTCGAGAGCTCCATTGAGACTGTCTGGAAACATGGCGAGGCTGTTTCTAGCGCCTTAGCTGGACTTTCAATCAGAGGTAGTGCCTTGACCCACGGTAATCCCGTTAAGATGGAAGCTGGTTGTGGTTCCGTGAAAGCTGAAGCTTCGGTTTCGATCGCAGCTGGATGTGATCCTATGAAAGTAGATGGCTTGGTGAAGATGGAAGCTGGTTTTGAGTCTGCAAGAGTCGAAGCTCCGGTTGGCTCGCTGAAGATGGAACCTGGTTATGATACTGTGAAAGTTGAAACTCCATTCGGGGGTGGTACAGCTGCCCATTTGTCTGAAGCGAAGGTGGTTCCAATAGAAAATGACACGGCTAAAGCTGCAGAGAAGCAACTGGTTGTTTTAGATGCAGAGAGGTGGTGGCTTCTCCAAGAGACTGAAGTTGCCGGGTACTCGACGTCCAGGGGATGCTGGATTCGTGTTGGCGAGTTCGTGGCCTTCAATTTTCCCAAGCCTGAAGCCGAAAGTAAGAAGAAGTTCTTTAAGCACAAGGGGTTCGGCCGAAAGCGAGCTCCGACATTGTAAGGTTCTTGACAAAAGCTTCAGGAGAGGTACGTTTCACTTGACTTGTTTCTTCGTTTTACTTCTAACCATTTGCTCACAGATAGGACGGCTTCCAGCCGACTGGTCCAAGTGTTTGATACCTTTGGGAAGTGCAAAATGGCACCAGAGGCTCTTTCTCTTATGAGCAGCATAGTTCTCCATTTGAGGTAGAGTTTCTGTGTTAACCAGAGACGTTACGTATATGATGTGCTTGCAGAGTTTATATCAACAAGTCAGAAGCCTTACGAGGAGGGGGTTGAGCGCGGATTGAAGCTTCTGCAAGCTATCTTGAAGCCGTTAATGCTTCGAAGAACAAAACAAAAGATTCACAAGTTGGATTCACAGACCAATTCTTGTTCTCCAACCGGCTCAATGTCAGGTTATTGAATGCAAACTATCTGAGCCTGAACGTGATTTTTATGATGCCCTTTACCACAGATCTAAGGCATGCTTTCGGATTGAACTTCTTTTCTCTTTTTTCTGAACACGTTTTTGCGTTTGTGATCAGGTAAAATTCGATCAGTTCGTTGGACAAGGTAAAGTTCTCCATAACTATGCGTCGATCCTCGAACTGCTACTTCGATTACGGCAAGCTTGTGATCATCCTTTTGTTGTTCTGAGGTAGAACATGCATCCTCTTATGTCTGAAGTTCCTGACGTTTTCTTCGTCACGCAGCCGCGGCGATACTGAAGACTTTGCGGACCTTGGAAAGCTGGCTAGACGTTTCTTGGACCCAAAGTCCAGGCTCTGCTGCACCACCTCCAGACGTTAAGTGAGGCCGGGTCGAAAAGCGTTGTTTTTAGTCAGTGGACAGCGTTTCTCGACTTGTTAGAGATACCATTGAAAAGGTACGAGCGTCTTTCCTTTTGGCGCTTTCTCTTTGTTTGTGTTTCTAACAATGCACTGCCAGGACGAACTTCTGTTTCGTCCGCTTGGACGGAACACTATCGCAGCGCTCAAAAACTTCAGCAATATTCCAGCCGTGGCTGTAAGCTTTTTGTATTGCTTACCTCCAAGAAACCACTCTATTTTGTGGACAGGTCATGCTCATGCTTTTCTCATGGTACGCGCTATAGTTTTCTTTTTTAGCCATCTTCGGAGTCGAGAATGTGGACGATCGAGCATCGGTCAGACGAAGAACGTATCGATCAAGCGATTCATCGTCAAAGTAAGCGCGAGTTGAAACTCTCTTTGACGTTTCTCATGTCTCTAGAGCAGGACTCGGTGGAGGAGAGAATGCAACAGGTCCAAGCGAGGAAGCAGCGATTGATCGCGAGGGCTCTCACAGACGAAGAGGTGCGAAGCGCTCGAATCGAGGAGGTCAAAATGCTATTTAGATGAGAAGAACTGGAGTCCTTAGCATTTTTTTAACTTGTATCAGTCTACATAGTTAAAGAGGGGAATATGCTTCTAGCATCGGCAGAGGATGGCTAGGTTACAAGCATTTCTAGGTTTCTTCGCGGCTATGGCGGACAGCGAAGGAGCAGGCGATCGCGTCGCATGCGCGTTTGATTCCGGCAGCATCGGCGACGAGCAAGGTATGCATGCTAGGATCGCCTCGAGAAGCAGCAGCAGCGCCAGAGCCAGAGTAGCCGATCTAGATTCATGCAAGCATATGATCTCTAGGAAATTGAGCTGAACGCTGAGGCTTTGCAGGCGATCGCGTCGATTCCTCTCGTCTCCGCGGCCGGGTGGCTAGAAAGCCGGGGCGCATTCTAGAGTTTCGGGGTTTCTGGGGCGATCAGTCATGTAGCGGGCAGTGATTCTCTCACAGGGAGCTGGAAGTCAGCCATGACGTGGAATCCGCCACAAGTTCCTCCCAGCTTGTCCGCCTTGACTGCCACTACTCAGGCCGAGGATGAACTGGGCGTGGATGTGTCGTCTCCCAGCGGCGATTTGCTACTCCATTTTCTCAAGAGCTGTGAGCAGCTGAGGAGCAGTCGCAGCTACAGGACCCAGCAGTCGCAGGTCACGGTCCCTGCCACAGCTTTGCTCCCTCTGGAGGACCTGGAGGAGAAGGTCCTCCTCCACGACCACTCTACGTCCCAGCAATAAGATTTGGTGGGTGGTCACCTCACTTCCAGCAGCACCAAGACCCACTTTTCCCTTCGGATCCATTCTTGACTCCGTCGAACCACTGATTTCTACGCTCGTTTGCTCCTCTTCCAGTCGAGATCCGCCAGTGCCGTATCCTTTTCCAAATGCTCCGACTTTCCAGCCTGCTGATAATGTGGTTCATCCGCCGCATTCCTCTGGGGAGCTTAAAGCTCGTCCTGGCCTTCACTTGGAGTCTCCGGTGTTTGGACCCAGCGCAGCTGAGACCTCGGACTCCAAACGCGCCCCAGAGCAGCCGAGGAGATCGGTTACACCTGCGAAGGATGACAAGCAACAATTCCACGGCAATGGTTCCGAGCTCCTTCAGTTGTTACAGGGTGGTCCTGGTCGTGTTAAGCCCACAGCCTCCACAAAGGTGGATGCTACACAGGACAGTGGGGATTCTGGAGAGCCATCAAAGAAAGGAAGTCCATCTGCTGTTCACGGTCCCATAGGACCGCCGAGGCGTCATGTCGTTTCTCCTCCGCAGAGTCCAAATGACCTCCTTGGACGTTTGTGGGCTGCTCTTCCGTCGTCAAGCCACACTTTGTTTGACGGAGAAAGCGAACGCAAGCCGCCAGCCCGGAGCTTTGGCGTTGAAGTGAACGAGATGTCCCGGGAAGTCGATGGAGGTGGAGCTGCTGGTTTCGCACTTTTGAAGCGAAGAGGATCGGAGCCTGCCGCCTCGCACTACCTTTAAACGGCTACGACTATAACGACTCTAAGACAAATGATAAGCCGAGGACAAACTCGGCATCCGGAAGACTACAGGACTATCGTGGGAGATACGTAAATGGAGAGGCCGAATTTGAGCCCGGAGGCGATGACTTTAGAGGTGCGGGAAGGCGTCGAGGTACCGGTCGTGCAGACGCCAGACGCGGTGGTCGGGGTGCTGTTGGCCAGTGGATTGCGGTAAGTGAGAGGCATAAAGATGCTGAGCCAAGTGACATCACCTCCTGCGGTATCTCTGATGGAAGGGACGAGTCGCTTAAATCTTGAAACGGGACTTAGTCGAATGCTCGGAGAAAACATCAACAGGAATGGAGGATAAAACAGGCCGACTCAAAGGCAGCATTTCCAGCGGAGGAAAAACCGGACTACAAGGTTGCAAAGGCACGGTCTTTGGCATCTCAACTTGAACGTCCAGGCTTGCCATCGGGAAGTACGCAAAACTCTTCCGTTGGCGCGGCTTTTGAGGAGTCCAAACAGAGGCTCCATAATCTAGATGCTTTGGAAGGAGAGGGCGTGACGACCTCTCTAGATCTCGAGGAGCTACAAATTGACGGTCACCGTCGTGAGGGTAAAGCTCCACAGTTTTACAAGGTTTGTGCTTGCTTTTTCTCTTTCTTTATTTTCATGTGTTTGTATCTCTGGTTACAGCCGAAGGAGAACCGTTTCAGGACCTCTGAAGAAGAACTAAAGGTATGCATATGCATATTCTTAATATTGTTATGTTTTCCATGTTTTACCATTTACTCTATACACCAGATTTTAAAATACTCAAAACCACGAGAGTAAAGTAATATCCTGAGAATACGATTTGTAAGAAAAACAGAAACTGTCTCTTCTCCAAACGCTGCTGACGGCTTGGAAATCTCTGTTTTTGTTTTTTGAGTGATGCAAAATAGTGTAGCATTTGCGCAGATCGAGAACCCAATCGATGTCCACTGAAGGAGCAAGGTTTAATCCCAGAATGTTATATGGACATCCGGCCGCTCCTCAAGCCATGGTGGAACTTTCGTACCTTTTTCGCAGCATAGGACTTTGAGCCTTGGAAATAAGCCAAGGCCGTGATTGTCTGAACTCAATTGGGGCCACACTACATCATCATGATCATAGAGCCTAAGCATCTCCAATCCTGGAAGGGATGCAATGGATGATGGAATATTTTCGATCCTAACCAAGGTTACATATTCTAGAGCAGTCATCTGGTCTGTTGGCCCAAAGAAATCATTGGGGAGCTGCCTCATACAGCCCTTCCGCAAAAATAATGTGAATTGTTTCACCTTCAGCTGTGATCTCTCGGTTGGCATCAAGAGTCTCCTCGTGTAACCTTCTACTCTCAGTTCAAAAAGGTCATTGGGGAGTTGTGTCACAAAGAGAGGCAAATGCTCCCATGTATTATCAGGAGCCAGATTGAATGTTAAGGTCTTCAGGTTTGGAAGACTTGCTGCCAAATCATCCTTGAACTCCGACTGTGCAATGTGCAGATTTTCAAGCTCCAGCCATTCGAGGCATGGGAACAATCCATCCAGACTGAAGAACCGGATACCACTGCAGTCTAGGTGAAGTTCTCGTAGCCGTTGAAAGACCTTTAGCCAAGACAGGTCTTTCATTGTCTCATTGTTTGTGATGGATAAAGCTTGTAGCTGTGGCCATTCAAGGGTTTCGGCATTGTTTTCACCGTCTTGTACCCCGTCGATTGAAAAGTGCTGAAGCTGGTTGGAATTCTTAAACATTCGCTTCCAGTCAAGTTTGATAGTCGATTCCACATAAATGTGACATCGTCTTAGATTGACAAGTTGCCACGGGCCTGTGAAATCGCCAAAGTCCATGCTCTTTGCACGCAACACCAGTGTCTCAATGTCCACTAGTGCACCAAGGCTGTGAGGTATTTTTATTGTTGCATTGTAGAGTTTTAGCTCTAAATGTCTTAGCTTGTGTAGGCTTGAAATTCCACTCAAACCTATGACCACAGCTAACTCCTTACAAGATTCAAGCTCCAGCTCTTCCAAGTTGAATAATTGGGGCAGTAATGCAAAGTTGAATTTTCTGATCTTCTTGCATTTAAAAACCTTCAGTGATGTCAAGCTGAAGAGCGCATCTGGCAATTGAGGCGCATCATCGAAGGATCGAACGTCAAGCACTTGAAGGTTTCTCAGCTTGGATATGCTATCTGGAATAAAACGGACCAAATTATAGCATCTATTCAAGCTCAATACCTTGACATTTTGGATGTGATCTATAATAAGACTGACATCCACACCAGAAATTCCACGACATCCATCGAGAAGCAAGACATCTCGCACATGAATGTCAGACAAAAGGCTGCTTGTAACCTTCTTTCCAATGAATGAAACTTTAGAAAATGTTGGAGAAATCCCAGGTGGACAATCATAGCCAAACAGGCATCCCTTCTCGTGCTCTTCCTGGGGTGGGTACTTCCCTTTCAAGATTCTTATGCACAGCTTGCGTACCATATCGTGCACAGTTACATACTTATCAGTTGTCTTCACTAGGCATCTTCGTTCCAGTTCACTAACAATCTGCAGAGGCGAGAGTTCTGACCCAACCGCTATCCAACATTTTCTCAGATCATCAAACTCGATTTGCTCATCTTCTGGAAACGCAGCCACATAGAGAAAGCACTCTTGCAGCTTTTCATCCTTATTAAAGCGTCCCAGCTCGTCATAGCTAAACTTCAAGCGCTGGAACATCCGCTTCTCAATGTCCCCGTCATTCAACAAATGCATCTTCTCATAGCGTTCTTCCCACACCTGCGGCCCGTCATTCCTGTAGTCAGCCATGGCACTGCCAATCACTTCAAGAGCTAAAGGGAGCCCCTCACATTTGCTAGCTATTCTCTCGGCAACTTTCACAATGTCCGGATCACTAGGTAGTGAATCATAAAAGGCAAACTTCCAAAACATCTTTTTGCTCTCGTCCTCTGATAGCTCATGCACAGGAAGTTCCTTTGCACCCAGCATGCTCAAAATGCCTTTCTTTCTGCTTGTTACCAGCACCCGGCTGTAAGAGGACGGCCCTGCTGTAAAATCCAGTCCCTTGGCCAAGCTCATTTCCCACACATCATCCAGTATCAACAAGACATGGTTGCCACGAGCAACATTTTGTGCCATCTGTTGCACATGCTCAATGGTGCCTGCATTTTGGGCCCTCTCCTTCATGTCGCCCCATTCAAGAGCGTTGAGGAGCTGGGCCCTGAGATCATCCTCCGATGCATCTTTCTTGACAGTAATCCACACAATGTTGTCATGGAAATGCTGCCGGACCCTCTCGTCATTGTGCACGAAGCTTGCAAGGGTGGTCTTGCCACACCCTCCCATTCCCAGGAGTCCAAACCATTTCCCCGGGGCTTGTGGATCCAGGAGGGCATTCACCACCTCATCCACCTGCTCCCCATGGCGGCCAAACATGTCGTTGGCCTCGGGAACACCACGCCGTTCATACTTTACGAGACCTCTGTCTTGTGGACAACTCCGTACGGAAAAGCTGGTGCTCCGCTGTATCGCTCTCAACTCTTCTCGCTCGTACCTTTCAATGTGCGGGAGGAGATCGTTCTCGCAAGTGCGTACCAGCTCCGAAATCGCGCCAGATCGCTTCTCCCTGTGCGAAAGATCCATCTTTTAGCTTCATTGCTTCAAACATGAATTCGAATAAGCCTTACTGTAATCCAAGCAGCGCTTGCGCCTTCTCAGTCCATTCAGTCAGTTCAGTCAGCCACGCCTCAGCCTCACCAGAGTAGCGGAAATCTGGATTCTTGTGCTTGGGAGCATTAAACTTGTCAAGCGTGGCCTGGATTCTGGATTGCCTCTTCTGTAGGTCCTCAATGTGGACATTCAGCTCATGCTCGTGACCTTGGATGTGCGACAGGAGATCGTCGTAGGCACTTAAGGACTTCGCGATGTCGTTACTCCGCTTGTACCTATAGGAAGTGGAGAAGTTCAACCAGCTGCCTGCCATTTCTACACACACACACACACAAAAGATAAAATGCTACTGTACCCACCGCTTTATGGGGCTCCAGATCCTGTTGTGGCGTGATCCCAAGAGTGCTTGTGCCGTGGTGTTCCATTTCCTGACACGCTCCAAGCATTTCTCGGCCGCTTCAGAGAACGTGAAGCCAGGATTCTGCTGCTTGTGAACACTGAAAGCTTCGATCTTGTCCTGGATGTGGGGCGCCTTGTTCTCCAGCGTGTCAATGTTGGCATTGCAGTCCCATATCTTCTTAGCAGGGCCCAGAGCCAAGCCACACAAGACGCCTGTCAAGGAGCCCACAACCTCCATGCTTGTAGCCCTACAAGTAAAGGTCGTCTCCCAGAACTCTTGGCCTTGGTACCCCCTCTTAAAATGAACAGTAATTTTCAGAGAGGTATAAGCTGTTACAAGTGACTTCAGTTTAATTAGAGTTGATTGCTTGCAGTAGAGCGAGTAGTAGAGGGCCTCGTGCAGCACCCTCCCTCTTGCAATGCCAGCTGTGGCTCTCTCTCTCTCTCTCTCTCTCATTGCTCCGACATTGTAAGTTTCTCCAGGAGAGGTAACTTTTGTCGCTTTGTTTTAGTTGCACACAGATAGGACGCCTTCCAGCTGACTGGGCCACGTGTTTGATTGCTTTGGGTCAGGAAAGCGTACTCTGGGTCATTCTTCACTATTTTTGAGACTAGAAATGTATATGGTTTTACTTTTGAACTAGGATAGTTTATATGTTTTAATATAGTTAACACTCTGGAACTTGATTTATAATATTAAGGACATCAAGAATTATTTTAAAATTGGACTAAAACTTGATTTTCCTTATGGATTTTCAACTACATATAAAAGATGTACATTCATGTAATTTATTCATATGACAATATTCTTTTGATAAGAGCATAGGTTGTGCTGTTTAACAAACATATGATGTTTTTGACTGGAACTTTTATGAAAAAATTCCCACACTTCAATAAGAAAATAAACAAATTTATATTGTTTTTATTTGCTGCAGAATGTCCTTTTTTAATTCTATATGAATTGGGATTGTTGGTTACAACTTCCATACATATAACATATAAATGTTCTATTGCAAACACCTTTACCACATATTTAATTCTTCCTTGGATCCTCATAATATAATCAATTGCCACTTCTATAAAATTGTCTTTATTGTTACTTCTATAGTAGTGTCCTTATTGTGGGCACCTTCTGGAAATTTGTGATAAACTACATCCAAAACTAAATAAAAGTAATTCCAAACATTGTTATAGTATGGCACAATACAAACTTCTCTAACTAGAGCATCCATTAGTAAGATGCAAATATGATTAAACTGAATATTCCCTAAAACTAGAATATGAGAACCTATGTGGTGATATTTCATTAGAGTTCTTCTTAGTTCATCTACATAGTAACTGAGAAAAAATTATTAGCTTCTACCAAAGAAATAGACAGATAGACAATTTCTCACTAGTAGTATTTAACACAAATAAAGATTTCAATTGCACCCCTAATCCCAATTAAGAATATCTTTATAATTTGAGTAAAATATATATCACTTGGAAAACCATATAGTTATAAGCATGAAATATAATATGATTATTACAAACCTACCACCATAGTTGTGTTTTGCTTTTGCACTATGATTTTAGCATGTATTGCCACAATTTTTAATTCTTCCTCTTTCATGACATTTTCTTCAACCAAATTATCATTAGGTAAACTATTCATCACTCATTCCAACATCACTAATGACAAATATAATGTTCTCTCACAAATCATATCCAAACCCATTTGCTAGATTATATGGTTCTGACTTTCCCCCCAAATCCACTCTATTATTTGTCACCGTGCTAACTTATGCATTTTTAGTGAGAGTAAGTGTTTGCCTATGCTTATAGAAAGTAGATTTGGTGAAAAAATAACCTTTTGCTGCCCTTGTTGCAACATATGATAGACAACAATAATTTTTCTTTCCTTTTTGATTTAGTTTGGTATGAACCATTGAGATGTGTCATTTTCTAGCTAATCTAGTGATTCTAATCCCCAGACAAATATTACAATCAACATTACAAGGCAAACACATTCTTGCAAAACTTGTGAAACTTAAAAATACACGATTATCACATATTTTTTAGTGTTTTTAATGTTGTCAGCCTTGTGGTTTTTTGCTGCTTTCTTTCAAAAACATAATATTGTTATAAATATTTTTTTTGAGGTATTTTTCAAGTCCTTATTTAGCAAATTCATAATGGAGGTAGAGATAAATTGCCCAATCCGTAATGCTTTTTGGGATTGGGCCTATAAGTAACATTTGATAAACATAGAACATAGGAAGGTTAAGGCTTTTTACTTGCATTTATTGATAGAAGTTTTTTTCTGCTGCTTGTGATCACTGAAAGCGTTGATCTTGGCCTGGATGTGGTGCGCCTTGTTCTCCAGCGTTTCAATGTTGGCATTGCAGTCCCATATCTTCTTAGCAGGGCCCAGAGCCAAGCCACACAAGGCGCTTGCCAAGACGCTTGTCAAGGAGCCCACAACCTCCATGGCTGTAGACCTACAAGTAAAGGTTGTCTCCCTCCCAGAAAGAAGCACAATATTAACTCTTGACCTTGTAGATCGGAATTCTTCACTTTTTTCACAGCTGTGACTCACTCACTCTAAGAGATTCACAGTGAGCACCGCAACGATCGCTACATCGCTCGCAAGAAACACCTCTATTTGTACAAACAGACAAACGTGGAGCACGTAAAGTACTTGTGTCTTTGGCCTAAAACGGGCATCTTAAACGCCATAGCCAGAAAATGGACGGCGGAGATCTTTTGAGCAAGAACCCTAAGCCCCAATTTCTCTTGGCGAGGCGGCGAGAGAGCGATGGCGCAGAGAGATGCGACACGCCCGAGAAGAACATCGTCTTTTCTCTTGTACGGCGTTGATCCAGGCGAACGGGAATAGAGGGCTCCTCTGCCGATCTTTGATGGGATCCGGGCGATCTTGTCACCGACGTCTTGAAAGATCTTAGATTCTATCCGCAATCGCCCAGTCAATGCGATCCTGGCGATGGGTGCTCCATATCATTCTATTCCCGCCCGGACGTGATCTCCAGGATTTGCGAAGAAGAAGCTCGTCGATCAGATGCGCGATGCTGGCGCGCAATTGATTGGGGCTTCCCGCTACATTTTCCCGCGCTATCGTCTCTACTTCTCCATTCTAGGGTTCTTTCTTGGAGGCGACGTAGGTTTTCTATTGCCCGCGTGGTCGAGGAGACGGCGCTGGGGGGCGGCCTTGATCGGCGTTCTGGAGCTACACAGGTAATGGGGCTCGAAATAGGAAGAGGCTCCAGCTTAAGGCTCCGACGAGCAGTGCCAAGGCGAGGAGCCCCAGCCAGCGTTACGGTGACAACAAAGGCCCCTGGGGCAAAATGTTCCATCGGCAGTGGATCGCCAAAAACTCCTGCAAAAGCTGAGGCTTCTAGGACAGCAAAAATTGCCGAGGTGAGCAATGATAGTGGAGCAGAGGATTTATATGATTCGGGAGTAGAAAGTGGAGCAATCGATGGTGGGGAAGAAGAGGTAAACAAGATTATGACTGGAGGAGGAAACGATGCCGAGGTGGAAAGAACAACAGTGGTGGAGAGCTCCATTGAGACTGTCAGGAAACATGGCGAGGCTGTTTCTAGCGCCTTAGCTGGACTTTCAATCAGAGGTAGTGCCTTGACCCACGGTAATCCCGTTAAGATGAAAGCTGGTTGTGGTTCCGTGAAAGCTGAAGCTTCGGTTTCGATCGCAGCTGGATGTGATCCTATGAAAGTAGATGGATTGGTGAAAATGGAAGCTGGTTTTGAGTCTGCAAGAGTCGAAGCTCTGGTTGGCTCGGTGAAGATGGACCCTCGTTATGATACTGTGAAACTTGAAACTCCATTCGGGGGTTGTTTTAGATGTTGAGAGGTGGTGGCTTCTCCAAGAGACTGAAGTTGCCGGGTACTCGACGTCCAGGGGATGCCGGATTCGTGTTGGCGAGTTCATTTCCTTCAGTTTTCCCAAGCCTGAAGCCGAAAGTAAGAAGAATTTCTTTGAGCACAAGAAGGTTCGGCCGAAAGTGAGCTCCGATATTGTAAGGTTCTTGACAAAAGCTTCAGGAGAGGTACGTTTCACTTGACTTGTTTCTTCGTTTTACTTCTAACCATTTGCTCACAGATAGAACGGCTTCCAGCCGACTGCGCCAAGTGTTTGATACCTTTGGGAAGTGCAAAATGGCACCAGAGGCTCTTTCTCTTATGAGCAGCATAGTTCTCCATTTGAGGTAGAGTTTTCTGTGTTTACCAGAGACGTTACGTATATGATGTGCTTGCAGAGTTTATATCAACAAGTCAGAAGCCTTACGAGGAGGGGGTTGAGCGCGGATTGAAGCTTCTGCAAGCTATCTTGAAGCCGGTAATGCTTCGAAGAACAAAAGATTCAACTGATAAAGAAGGAAGGTAAGCATTTTTTTCTTTGCACCGTGCCTTGTCTTGTATTCACTCACAAGTTGGATAATTCTTGTTCTCCGACCGGCTCAATGTGAAGTTATTGAATGCAAACTATCTGAGCCTGAACGTGATTTTTATGATGCCCTTTACCACAGATCTAAGGCATGAAGAACTTCTCTTTCTTTTATTTTCTCTTTTTTGTGAACACGTTTTTGCGTTTGTGATCAGGTAAAATTCGATCAGTTCGTTGAACAAGGTAAAGTTCTCCATAACTATGCCTCGATCCTCGAACTGCTACTTCGATTACGGCAAAGCTTGTGATCATCCTTTTCTTGTTCTGAGGTAGAAAATGCATCCTCTTATGTCTGAAGTTCCTGACGTTTTCTTCGTCACGCAGCCGTGGCGATACTGAAGACTTTGCGGACCTGGGAAAGCTGGCTAGACGTTTCTTGGACAAGAATTCCTCCCAGGTGCCTTCGACGGCGTATGTCAAAGAGGTGGTGGATGATATTCGTAAAGGAGAAAGTGCTGAGTGCCCAATTTGTTTGGAGATGCACGCAGTTCTTACACCATGCGCTCATCGAATGTGCCGTGAGTGCCTATTGAATAGCTGGCGTACTAGCGCCGGAGGTCCCTGTCCAATATCCGAGGTAACATATTGTTTTATTTCTCGAGCTCTTTTCCATATCCATAGCTATCATGCAGGCGTTCCTGTACGAAATAGGAACTCATAACTGTACCAAGAAGTAATCCAAAGTCGTCCAAAGTCGAGGCTCTGCTGCACCACCTCCAGACGTTAAGTGAGGCCGGGTCGAAAAGCGTTGATTTTAGTCAGTGGACAGCGTTTCTCGACTTGTTAGAGATACCATTGAAAAGGTACGAGCGTCTTTCCTTTTGTGCTTTCTCTTTGTTTGTGTTTCTAACAATGCACTGCCAGGAAGAACTTCTGTTTCGTCCGCTTGGACGGAACACTATCGCAGCGTCAGCGAGAACAAGTGCTCAAAAACTTGAGCAATATTCCAGCCGTGGCCGTAAGCTTTTTGTGTTGCTTACCTCCAAGAAACCACTCTATTTTGTGGACAGGTCATGCTCATGCCTTTCTCATGGTACGCGCTATAGTTTTCTTTTTTAGCCATCTTCCGAGTCGAGAATGTGGACGATCGAGCATCGGTCAGACGAAGAACGTATCGATCAAGCGATTCATCGTCAAAGTAAGCGCCACTTGAAACTCTCTTTGACGTTTCTCATGTCTCTAAAGCAGGATCGAAGCGAGGAAGCAGCGATTGATCGCGGGGGCTCTCACAGACGAAGAGGTGCGAAGCGCTCGAATCGAGGTGCTCAAAATGCTATTTAGATGAGAAGAACTGGATTTTTTTAACTTATATCAGTGTACATAGTTAAAGAGGGGAATATGCTTCTAGCATCGGCGCGTATATTCTTCGGATAGTTCAATGTGTCATGGATGTAGGAGCTTTGGGTACAAGCATTTCTAGGTTTCTTCGCGGCTATGGCGGACAGCGAAGGAGCAGGCGATCGCGTCGCAAGCGGCGACGAGCAAGGTATGCATGCTAGGATCGCCTCGAGAAGCAGCAGCAGCGCCAGCGCCGGCGCCGCGCCGCGATTTCGCTGGCCTAGAGAGCCGGAGTAGCCGATCTAGATTCATGCAAGCATATTATCTCTAGGAAATTGAGCTGAACGCTGAGGCTTTGCAGGCGATCGCGTCGATTCCTCTGGTCTCCGCGGCCGGGGCGGCTAGAAAGCCGGGGCGCATTCTAGAGTTTCGGGGTTTCTGGGGCGATCAGTCATGTAGCGGGTAGAGCCGTTGGTGCGGCTTTTGAGGAGTCCAAACAGAGGCTCCATAATCTAGATGCTTTGGAAGGAGAAGGCGTGACGACCTCTCTAGATCTTGAGGAGCTACAAATTGACGGTCACCGTCGTGAGGGTAAAGCTCCACAGTTTTACAAGGTTTGTGCTTGCTTTTTTTCTTTCTCTATTTTCATGTGTTTGTATCTCTGGTTACAGCCGAAGGAGAACCGTTTCAGGACCTCTGAAGAACTAAAGGTATGCATATGCATATTCTTAATATTGTTATGTTTTCCATGTTTTACCATTTACTCTATACACCAGATTTTAAAATACTCAAAACCACGAGAGTAAAGTAATATCCTGAGAATACGATTTGTAAGAAAAACAGAAACTGTGTCTTCTCCAAACGCTGCTGACGGCTTGGAAATCTCTGTTTTTGTTTTTTGAGTGATGCAAAATAGTGTAGCATTTGCGCAGATCGAGAACCCAATCGATGTCCACTGAAGGAGCAAGGTTTAATCCCAGAATGTTATCTGGAGATCCGGCCGCTCCTCAAGCCATGGTGGAACTTTCGTACCTTTTTGGCAGCATAGGACTTTGAGCCTGGGAAATAAGCCAAGGCCGTGATCGTCTGAACTCAATTGGGGCCACACTACATCATCATGATCAGCGAGCTCAAGAACCTCCAATCCTGGAAGGGATGCAATGGATGATGGAATATCTTCAATCCCAGACAAGTGCACACGTCTTAAAAGAGTCATCTGGTCTGTTGGCTCAAAGAATTCATTGGGGAGCTGCCTCATACAGCCCTTCCACCAATATAATATGAACAATTTCACCTTCAGCTGTGATCTCTCGGTTGGCATCAAGAGTCTCCTCATGTAACCTTCTACTCTCAGTCCATCAAGGTCTTTGGGGAGTTGTGTCACAAAGAGAGGCAAATGCTCCCATGTATTATCAGGAGCCAGATAGAATCTTAACCTCTTCAGGTTTGGAAGACTTGCTGCCAAATCATCCTTGAACTTCGACTGTGCAATGTGCAGATTTCGAAGCTCCAGCCATTCGAGGCATGGGAACGATCCATCCAGACTGAAGAACTGGATACCACTGCAGTCTAGTTGAAGTTGTTGTAGCCGTTGAAAGCCCTTTAGCCAAGACAGGTCTTTCATTGTCTCATTGTTTCTGATCGTTAAAATTTGTAGCTGTGGCCATTCAAGGCTTTCGGCATTGTTTTCACCGTCTTGTACCCCGTCAATGGTAAAGTCCTGAAGCTGTTTGGAATTCTTAAACATTCGCTTCCAGTCAAGTTTGATACTCGATTGCACGCTAATGTCACATCGTCTTAGATTGACAAGTTGCCACGGGCCGGTGAAATCGCCAAAGTCCATGGTCTTTGCACTCAACTGCAGTTTCTCAATGTCCACTAGTGCACCAAGGTTGTGAGGTATTTTTATTGTTGCACGTTTGAAGTCTAGCTTTAAATCTCTTAGCTTGTGTAGGCTTGAAATTCCACTCAAATCCATAGCCACAGCTAACTCCTTACAAGATTCAAGCTCCAGATGTTCGAGGCATGGGAACGATCCATCCAGACTGAAGAACTGGATACCACTGCAGTGTATGTGAAGTTCTCGTAGCCGTTGAAAGCCCTTTAACCAAGACAGTTCTTTCATTGTCTCATTGTTTCTCATCCTTAAATATTGGAGCTGTGGCCATTCAAGGCTTTTGGCATTGTTTTCAACGTCTTGTACCCCGTGAATGACAAAGTCCTCAAGCTGTTTGGAATTCTTAAACATTCGCGTCCAGTCAAGTTTGATAGTCGATACCACCCTAATGTGACATCGTCTTAGATTGACAAGTTGCCACGGGCCGGTGGAATCGCCAAAGTCCATGCTCTTTGCCCACAACTCCAGTTTCTCAATGTCAGGCTGTGAGGTATTTTTATTGTTGCATTGTAGAGTTTTAGCTCTAAATGTCTTAGTAGGCTTGAAATTCCACTCAAATCCACAGCAAACTCCTCATTGGACTTAAGCTCCAGCTCTTCCAAGTTGAATAATTGGGGCAGTAATGCAAAGTTGAATTTTCTGATCTCATTGCATTTCAAAACCTTCAGTGATGTCAAGCTGAAGAGCGCATCTGGGAATATTGTCGTCACAAATAAAACTCGAAGGTCAAGCACTTGAAGGTTTCTCAGCTTGGATATGCTCTCTGGAATAAAACGGACCAACTTAAAGCATCTATTCACGCTCAATACCTTGACATTTTGGATGTGATCTATAATAAGACTGTCATCCATTACTTTACATCCATCGAGAAGCAAGACATCTCGCACATGAATGCCAGACAAAAAGCTGCTTGTAACCTTCTTTCCAATGAATGAAACTTTAGAAAATGTTGCAGAAATCCCAGGTGGACAATCATAGCCAAACAGGCATCCCTTCTCGTGCTCTTCCTGGGGTGGGTACTTCCCTTTCAAGATTCTTATGCACAGCTTGCGTACCATATCGTGCACAGTTACAAACTTATACCATCGAATCTGATTCTCGAATCTGAATCGATCATCAGTTGTCTTCACTAGGCATCTTCGTTCCAGTTCACTAACAATCTGCAGAGGCGAGAGTTCTGACCCAACCGCTATCCAACATTTTCTCAGATCATCAAACTCGATTCGCCGATCTTCTGGAAACGCAGCCACATAGAGAAAGCACTCTTGCAGCTTTTCATCCTTATTAGACAGCTCGTCATAGCTAAACTTCAAGCGCTGGAACATCCGCTTCTCAATGTCCCCGTCATTCAACAAATGCATCTTCTGATAGCGTTCTTCCCACACCTGCGTCCCTTCATTCCTGTGGACAGCCATGGCACTGCCAATCACTTCAAGAGCTAGAGGGAGACCCTCACATTTGCCAGCTATTCTCTCGGCAACTTTCACAATGTCCGGATCACTAGGTAGTGAATCATAAAAGGCAAACTTCCAAAACATCTTTTTGCTCTCGTCCTCTGATAGCTTATGCACAGGAAATACCTTTGCACCCAGCTTGCTCAAAATGTCTTCCTTTCTGGTTGTTACCAGCACCCGGCTGTAAGAGGACAGCCCTGCTATAAAATCCAGTCCCTTGGCCAAGCTCATCTCCCACACATCATCCAGTATCAGCAAGACACAAATTCCACGAGCAACATTTTGTGCCAAGTGCTGCACATGCTCAAGGGTGCCTGCATTTTGGGCCCTCTCTTTCATGCCGCCCCAGTCAAGAGCGTTGAGGAGCTGGGCCCTGAGATCATCCTCCGATGCATCTTTCTTGACAGTGATCCATACAATGTTGTCATGGAAATGCTGCCGGACCCTCTGGTCATTGTTCACGAAGCTTGCAAGGGTGGTCTTGCCACATCCTCCCATTCCCAGGAGTCCAAACCATTTCCCCGGGGCTTGTGGATCCAGGAGGGCATTCACCACCTCATCCAGCTGCTCCCCATGGCGGCCAAACATGTCGTTGGCCTCGGGAACACCACGCCGTACATAGTTTACGAGACCTCTGTCTTGTGGACAACTCCGTACGGAAAAGCTGGTGCTCGGCTGTATCACTCTCAACTCTTCTCGCTCGTACCTTTCAATGTGCGGGAGGAGATCGTTCTCGCAAGTGCGTACCAGCTCCAAAATCGCGCCAGATCGCTTCTCCCTGCGCGACAGATCCATCTTTTAGCTCCATTGCTTCAAACATGAATTCGAATAAGCCTTACTGTGATCCAAGCAGCGCTTGCGCCTTCTCAGTCCATTCAGTCAGTTCAGTCAGCCACGCCTCAGCCTCACCAGAGTAGCGGAAATCTGGATTCCTGTGCTTGGGAGCATTAAACTTGTCAAGCGTGGCCTGGATTCTGGATGCCCTCTTCTTTAGCTCCTCAATGTGGACATTCAGCTCATGCTCGTGACCCTGGATCTGCGACAGGAGATCGCCGTAGGCACTTAAGGACTTCGCGATCTCGTTACTCCGCTTGTACCTATAGGAAGTGGAGAAGTTCAACCAGCTGCCTGCCATTTGTACACACACACACACAAAAGATAAAATGCTACTGTACCCACCGCTTTATGGGGCTCCAGATCCTGTTGTCGCGTGATCCCAAGAGTGCTTGTGCCTTGGTGTTCCATTTCCTGACACGCTCCAAGCATTCCTCGGCCGCTTCAGAGAACATAAAGCCAGGTCCATTTCGCTCCTTGTGGCGACCGAAAGCGTTGATCTTGTCCCGGATGTGGGGCGCCGGATTTGTTCTCCAGCGTTTCAATGTTGGCATTGCAGTCCCATACCTTCTTAGCAGGGCCCAGAGCCAAGCCACACAAGGCGCTTGCCAAGGAGCCCACAACCTCCATGGCTGTAGACCTACAAGTAAAGGTTGTCTCCCTCCCAGAAAGAAGCGCAACATTAACTCTTGACCTTGTAGATCGGAATTCTTCACTTTTTTCACAGCTGTGGCTCACTCACTCTATGAGATTCACAGTGAGCACCGCAACGATCGCTACATCGCTCGCAAAAAACACGTAAAGTACTTGTGTCTTTGGCCAAAACCCTAAACATCGACACGCCCGAGAAGAACATCGTCTTTTCTCTTGTACGGCGTTGATCCAGGCGTACGGGAATAGAGGGCTCCTCTGCCGATCTTTGATGGGATCCGGGCGATCTTGTCACCGACGTCTTGAAAGATCTTAGATTCTATCCGCAATCGCCCAGTCAATGCGATCCTGGCAATGGGTGCTCCATATCATTCTATTCCCGCCCGGACGTGATCTCCAGGATTTGCGAAGAAGAAGGTCGTCGATCAGATGCGCGATGCTGGCGCGCAATTGATTGGGGCTTCCCGCTACATTTTCCCGCGCTACTTCTCCATTCTAGGGTTCTTTCTTGGAGGCGACGTAGGTTTTCTATTGCCCGCGTGGTCGAGGAGACGGCGCTGGGGGGCGGCCTTGATCGGCGTTGTGGAGCTGCACAAGGTAATGGGGCTCGACACTCCGGGTTTTAGAAATAGGAAGAGGCTCCAGCTTAAGGCTCCGACGAGCAGTGCCAAGGCGAGGAGCCCCAGCCAGCGTTGGTAAATCGTGGACGACAGGGAGCTCTAGATGTACGGTGACAACAAAGGTCCCTGCGGCAAAATGTTCCATCGGCAGTGGATCGCCAAAAACTCCTGCAAAAGCTGAGGCTTCTAGGACAGCAAAAATTGCCGAGGTGAGCAATGATAGTGGAGCAGAGGATTTAGATGATTCGGGAGTAGAAAGTGGAGCAATCGATGGTGGGGAAGAAGAGGTAAACAAGATTATGACTGGAGGAGGAAACGATGCCGAGGTGGAAAGAACAACAGTGGTGGAGAGCTCCATTGAGACTGTCAGGAAACATGGCGAGGCTGTTTCTAGCGCCTTAGCTGGACTTTCAATCAGAGGTAGTGCCTTGACCCACGGTAATCCCGTTAAGATGGAAGCTGGCTGTGATTCCGTGAAAGCTGAAGCTTCGGTTTCGATCGCAGCTGGATGTGATCCTACGAAAGTAGATGGCTTGGTGAAGATGGAAGCTGGTTGTTTTAGATGCAGAGAGGTGGTGGCTTCTCCAAGAGACTGAAGTTGCCGGGTACTCGACGTCCAGGGGATGCCGGATTCGTGTTGGCGAGTTCGTGTCCTTCAATTTTCCCAAGCCTGAAGCCGAAAGTAAGAAGAAGTTCTTCCAGCCGACTGGTGATACCTTTGGGAAGTGCAAAATGGCACCAGAGGCTCTTTCTCTTATGAGCAGCATAGTTCTCCATTTGAGGTAGAGTTTTCTGTGTTTACCAGAGACGTTACGTATATGATGTGCTTGCAGAGTTTATATCAACAAGTCAGAAGCCTTACGAGGAGGGGGATGAGCGCGGATTGAAGCTTCTGCAAGCTATCTTGAAGCCGTTAATGCTTCGGAGAACAAAAGATTCAACTGATAAAGAAGGAAGGTAAGCATTTTTTTTCTTTGCACTGTGCCTTGTCTTGTATTCACTCACAAGTTGGATTCACAGACCAATTCTTGTTCTCCAACCGGCTCAATATGAAGTTATTGTATCCATATCCATAGCTATCATGCAGGCGTTCCTGTACGAAATAGGAACTCATAACTGTACCAACAAGTAATCGGTTTCGAATAAATGTCGAGGAGCAGTGGAAGGAGTCGTCCAAAGTCGAGGCTCTGCTGCACCACCTCCAGACGTTAAGTGAGGCCGGGTCGAAAAGCGTTGTTTTTAGTCAGTGGACAGCGTTTCTCGACTTGTTAGAGATACCATTGAAAAGGTACGAGCGTCTTTCCTTTTGGTGCTTTCTCTTTGTTTGTGTTTCTAACAATGCACTGCCAGGAAGAACTTCTGTTTCGTCCGCTTGGACGGAACGCTATCGCAGCGTCAGCGAGAACAAGTGCTCAAAAGCTTCAGCAATATTCCAGCCGTGGCCGTAAGCTTTTTGTGTTTCTTACCTCCAAAAACCACTCTATTTTGTGGACAGGTCATGCTCATGCTTTTCTCATGGTACGCGCTATAGTTTTCTTTTTTAGCCATCTTCCGAGTCGAGAATGTGGACGATCGAGCATCGGTCAGACGAAGAACGTATCGATCAAGCGATTCATCGTCAAAGTAAGCGCCACTTGAAACTCTCTTTGACGTTTCTCATGTCTCTAGAGCAGGACTCGGTGGGGGAGAGAATGCAACAGGTCCAAGCGAGGAAGCAGCGATTTCGCGAGGGCTCTCACAGACGAGGTGCGAAGCGCTCGAATCGAGGAGCTCAAAATGCTATTTAGATGAGAGTCCTTAGCAACTTATATCAGTGTACATAGTTAAAGAGGGGAATATGCTTCTAGCATCGGCGCGTATATTCTTCGGATAGTTCAATGTAGGTTTCTTCGCGGCTATGGCGGACAGCAGGCGATCGCGTCGCAAGCGGCGACGAGCAAGGTATGCATGCTAGGATCGCCTCGAGAAGCTGCAGCAGCGCCAGCGCCGGCGCTGCGCCGCGATTTCGCTGGCCTAGAGCCGGAGTAGCCGATTTCCTAGAGATTATGATCTCTAGGAAATTGAGCTGAACGCTGAGGCTTTGCAGGCGATCGCGTCGATTCCTCTCGTCTCCGCGGCCGGGGCGGCTAGAAAGCCGGGGCGCATTCTAGAGTTTCGGGGTTTCTGGGGCGATCAGTCATGTAGCGGGCAGTGATTCTCTCACAGAGAGCTGGAAGTCAGCCATGACGTGGAATCCGCCACAAGTAGCTTGTCCGCCTTGACTGCCACTACTCAGGCCGAGGATGAACTGGGCGTGGATGTGTCGTCTCCCAGCGGCGATTTGCTGCTCCATTTTCTCAAGAGCGGTGGGGGCGACGAGCAGCTGAGGAGCAGTAGCAGCTACAGGACCCAGCAGTCGCAGCTCACCGTCCCTGCCACAGCTTTGCTCCTTCTGGAGGACCTGGAGGAGGAGGAGAAGGTCCTCCTCCACGACCACTCTACGTCCCAGCAATAAGATTTGGTGGGTGGTCACCTCACTTCCAGCGGCACCAAGACCCACTTTTCCCTCCGGATCCATTCTTGACTCCGTCGGACCACTGATTTCTACGCTCGTTTGCTCCTCTTCCCGTTCCATCCGCCAGTGCCGTATCCTTTTCCAAATGCTCCGACTTTCCAGCCTGCTGATAATGTGGTTCATCCGCCGCATTCCTCTGGGGAGCTTAAAGCTCGTCCTGGCCTTCACTTCGAGTCTCCGGTGTTTGGACCCAGCGCAGCAGAGACCTCGGACTCCAAACGCGCCCCAGAGCAGTCGAGGAGATCGGTTACACCTGCGAAGGATGACAAGCAACAATTCCACGGCAATGGTTCCGAGCTCCTTCAGTTGTTACAGGGTGGTCCTGGTCGTGTGAAGCCCACAGCCTCCACAAAGGTGGATGCTACACAGGACAGTGGGGATTCTGGAGAGCCATCACAGAAAGGAAGTCCATCTGCTGTTCACGGCCCCATAGGACCGCCGAGGCGTCATGTCGTTTCTCCTCCGCAGAGTCCAAATGACCTCCTTGGACGTTTGTGGGCTGCTCTTCCGTCGTCAAGCCACACTTCGTTTGACGGAGAAAGCGAACGCAAGACGTCAGCCCGGAGCTTTGGCGTTGAAGTGAACGAGATGTCCCGGGAAGTCGATGGAGGTGAAGCTGCTGGTTTCGCACTTTTGAAGCGAAGGGGATCGGAGCCTGCCGCCTCGCACTACCTTTAAACGACTACGACTATAGGACTCTAAGACAAATGATAAGCCGAGGACAAACTCAGCATCCGGAAGACTACAGGACTATCGTGGGAGATACGTAAATGGAGAGGCCGAATTTGAGCCCGGAGGCGATGACTTTCGAGGTGCGGGAACGCGTCGAGTTACCGGTCGTGCAGACGCCAGACGCGGTGGTCGGGGTGCTGTTGGCCAGTGGATTGCGGTAAATGAGAGGCATAAAGATGCTGAGCCAAGTGACATCACCTCCTGCGATATCTCTGATGGAAGGGACGAGTCGCTTAAATCTTCAAACGGGACTTAGTCGAATGCTCGGAGAAAACATCAACAGGAATGGAAGATAAAACAGGCTGACTCAAAGTCAGCATTTCCAGCGGAGAAAAAACAGGACTACAAGGTTCCAAAGGCACGGTCTTTGGCATCTCAACTTGAACGTCCAGGCTTGCCATCGGGAAGTACGCAAAACTCTTCTGTTGGTGCGGCTTTTGAGGAGTCCAAACAGAGGCTCCATAATCTAGATGCTTTGGAAGGAGAAGGCGTGACGACCTCTCTAGATCTCGAGGAGCTACAAATTGACGGTCACCGTCGTGAGGGTAAAGCTCCACAGTTTTACAAGGTTTGTGCTTGCTTTTTTTCTTTCTTTATTTTCATGTGTTTGTATCTCTGGTTACAACCGAAGGAGAACCGTTTCAGGGAGTCCAGACGCGTCATTCCCATGCACAGACGTGATCTTCTTTACCGACTGGATCTGCTGAATTTCACTCGTGAGCTTTTCTGGCTCTACGACGAGCTTGTACCAACTGAAGAAGGGGAGGTCCGGAGAAGGAAGTTCTTCTCGAAGCTTGAGTCCCTTTTCGAGAGGGAGCTCCCGGGAACACGGCTCTTTCTTTTCGGATCGTGTGTCAATGCGTTTGGAGTTTGTAACAGTGACATCGATGTTTGCCTCTTCGTTGATCAGGAAGAACCAAGCTGCTTGTTCAAATGGCAACTATCCTCGAGTCAGATGCCATGTTAAACGTACAGGAGGCGTAGGACTCAACGTGACTCATGGTACCCGCTATAGTTTCTTATCCGAATTCTTAGCCATCCTCTGATCCAGAGAACTTTCCTTTCATTGTTCTTGGCAACAAGGTCGATGTTGATGGAGGGAACGATAGAGTGGTGAGCTCTTTTGTTTCATCTCTCGCCTCACTTTAAAGCTTGTGTGTCCAGGTTTCCGAGAAGAAAGCCAAGGCTTGGTGTGCTTCCAAGGGAAACATTCCATACTTTGAGGCGTCTGCCAAGGAAGACTACAACGTGGAGGCTGCGTTTCAATGCATTGCCAAGAATGCCTTGACGAGCGAACCCGAGGAAGACTTGTAAGTTTTGCTTGTTTCTTCTTGTGATGTTTCAAGCTCACATTTAACTTTTGGCAGCAGCTATCTTCCAGACACGATGGACAACAACAGACGGCCAAGATCGTCTGGCTGCGAGTGTTGATCTACTACTACTGTCCCTCTATCGATAAGTGTTTTCGCTTTCATTTTATATGTTTTTTTAATTTCTTTTTATTTTTACTCTCTCCTTTCGGTCGTTGGCCTTGGATTTTTCCCTTCTCAAATTTTTTTTTTCTTTTTGCTACGAAATAATTTTTCTTCTTCGATGTTGTATCTAGTTACTACTAGTAGTGCGCAAATTCTTGTGTTTGTGTATTATTAAATTTTCTTCGTTTCTAATGGATTGCTAGTTGACGAGAATTGTGTCACAACATGCCTAGATTTTCTCGATTCCACAAGTCTGGGTTGCAAGTAAGCAAAGGCTGTGATTGACACTGCATCACAAGAGTTTCCAATCCTTGGCAGCGATGCAACTTCGAAGCTGTGCAACCCTTTCGTTGTCTTATTCAGCCGCCAACTTCATTGTCCAAAAGTATGGGGAATGTGGCGATGTGGATGGCTTGCACAAACCAAACCAATCAGGATCGAGGGAGATCACTACATTGATCTCGAAAAGTGCATATTCTTAATATTGTTATGTTTTCCATGTTTTACCATTTACTCTGTACACCAGGTTTTAAAATACTCAAAACCACGAGAGTAAAGTAATATCCCGAGAATACGATTTGTAAGGAAAAAAAGAAACTGTTTCTTCTCCAAACGCTGCTGACGCTGTGAAAACTCTGTTTTCGTTTTTTGATGTTCTGCTTGTGATGCAAAATGGTGTAGCATTTGCGCAGATCTTCGAAAACCCAATCGATGTCCACTGAAGGAGCAAGGTTATACCTCGAAGCTTATATGGACATCCGGCCGCTCCTCAAGCCATGGTGGAACTTTCGTACCTTTTTGGCAGCGTAGGACTTTGAGCCTGGGAAATAAGCCAAGGCCGTGATTGTCTGAACTCAATTGGGGCCACACTACATCATCATGATCAGAGAGCACAAGTGTCTCCAATCCTGGAAGGGATGCAATGGATGATGGAATATCTTCGATCCCATACAAGTGCACACATCTTAAAAGAGTCATCTGGTCTGTTGGCTCAAAGAAATCATTGGGGAGCTGCCTCATACAGCCCTTCCACAAAGATAATGCGAACCGTTTCACCGTCAGCTGTGATCTCTGGGTTGGCATCAAGAGTCTCCTCATGTAACCTTCTACATCCAGTTCATCAAGGTCTTTGGGGAGTTGTGTCACAAAGAGAGGCAAATGCTCCCATGTATTATCAGGAGCCAGATAGAATAGTAAACTCTTCAGGTTTGGAAGACTTGCGGCCAAATCGTCCTTGAACTCGGACTGTGCAATGTGTAGATTTTGAAGCTCCAGAGCTTCAAGGCATGGGAACGATCCATCCAGACTGAAGAACTGGATACCACTGCAGTCTATGTCAAGTTCCTGTAGCCGTTGAAAGCCCTTTAACCAAGACAGGTCTTTCATTGTCTCATTGTTTGTGATACTTAAAAATTGTAGTTGTGGCCATTCAAGGCTTTCGGCATTGTTTTCACCGTCTTGTACCCCGACAATGGAAAAGTCCTCAAGCTGTTTGGAATTCTTAAACATTCGCTTCCAGTCAAGTTTGATAGTCGATTTCGCCCAAATGTGACATTGTCTTAGATTGACAAGTTGCCACAGGCCGGTGAAATCTGCAAAGTCCATGCTCTTTGCCTCCAACACCAGTGTCTCAATGTTCTTTAGTGCACCAAGGCTGTGAGGTATTTTTATTGTTGCACGATAGGAGAGGTCTAGCTTTAAATGTCTTAGCTTGTGTAGGCTTGAAATTCCACTCAAATCCACAGCTAACTCCTCATTGCACTCAAGCTCCAGCTCTTCCAAGTTGAATAATTGGGGCAGTAATGCAAAGTTGAATTTTCTGATCTCATCGCATTTCAAAACCTTCAGTGATGTCAAGCTGAAGAGCGCATCTGGCAATTGAGGCACACTTGAACGTCGAAGGTCAAGCACTTGAAGGTTTCTCAGCTTGGATATGCTCTCTGGAATAAAACGGACCAAATTATACCATCCATTCAAGCTCAATACCTTGACATTTTGGATGTGATCTATAATAAGACTGACATCCACACCAGAAATTCCATGACATCCATCGAGAAGCAAGACATCTCGCACATGAATATCAGACAAAAGGCTGCTTGTAACCTTCTTTCCAATGAATGAAACTTTAGAAAATGTCGGAGAAATCCCAGGTGGACAATCATAGCCAAACAGGCATCCCTTCTCGTGCTCTTCCTGGGGTGGGTACTTCCCTTTCAAGATTCTTATGCACAGCTTGCGTACCATATCGTGCACAGTTACAGACTTATACCATGTAGAATCAGTTGTCTTCACTAGGCATCTTCGTTCCAGTTCACTAACAATCTGCAGAGGCGAGAGTTCTGACCCAACCGCTATCCAACATTTTCTCAGATCATCAAAGCGGATTGGCCAATCTTCTGGAAACGCAGCCACATAGAGAAAGCACTCTTGCAGCTTTTCATCCTTATTAAACCGTCCCAGCTCGTCATAGCTAAACTTCAAGTGCTGGAACATCCGCTTCTCAATGTCCTCGTCATTCAACAAATGCATCTTCTGATAGCGTTCTTTCCACACCTGTGGCCCCTCATTCCTGTAGACAGCCATGGCACTGCCAATCACTTCAAGAGCTAAAGGGAGCCCCTCACATTTGCTAGCTATTCTCTCGGCAACTTTCACAATGTCCTGATCACTAGGTAGTGAATCACGAAAGGCAAACTTCCAAAACATCTTTTCGCTCTCGGCCTCTGATAGCTCATGCACAGGAAATACCTTTGCACCTAGCTTGCTCAAAATGTCTTCCTTTCTGGTTGTTACCAGCACCCGGCTGTAAGAGGACGGCCCTGCTATAAAATCCAGTCCCTTGGCCAAGCTCATCTCCCACACATCATCCAGTATCAGCAAGACACAAAGTCCACGAGCAACATTTTGTGCCAAGTGCTGCACATGCTCAAGGGTGCCTGCATTTTGGGCCCTCTCTTTCATGCCGCCCCATTCAAGAGCGTTGAGGAGCTGGGCCCTGAGATCGCCCTCCGATGCATCTTTCTTGACAGTGATCCATACAATGTTGTCATGGAAATGCTGCCGGACCCTCTCGTCATTGTGCACGAAGCTTGCAAGGGTGGTCTTGCCACACCCTCCCATTCCCAGGAGTCCAAACCATTTCCCCGGGGCTTGTGGATCCAGGAGGGCATTCACCACCTCATCCAGCTGCTCCCCATGGCGGCCAAACATGTCGTTGGCCTCGGGAACACCACGCCGTACATACTTTACGAGACCTCTGTCTTGTGGACAACT